AAATATTTTCCACTTTATTTTATCTATTAAACCCGATGAACCTTTTTGTGAATTAAATTAAATTTATAATCTAATAATAAAACATATTAATATAAATTAAAATCTATCTAGTTAAATACAATGTCAAACTTTAACCGAAGTCATGGGTATCCCTTTATTTTTTTTCTATATTAGCTAATAGTATTTTATATTTGCTAAAGGTTTATAAAAGCTATGTTAGAACAATAATAAGTTATTTCTACAACCGTTTGTCATGAAATGATATATTTATGTATACAAAAATTTCCATCAATTTTAGACTATTATTAGATGAAAGATATACATTTCGCGGAAAATCGTTATGCTAAGCATATATCAGCAATGTTTATTTTACGAAAATACTCTTAAGTGAGGGATCTGAATCAATTGTTAATTAACTAACGCTTCCTTTATTGAAAACTTTTTCCAAACAGGAAAATACACCTTGGAATTTATTTTTAATATCATCTATATGAATAGATATTGCTAAAACGATAAACATAATAACAAACAAATCATCTCAACAACTGTGAAATGTTTGCTCTTTGAACCCATCAAGCAAAATATGTCGATGTACAATTTCAGGTCGAGATAAGCTATCGCCCCCGTGGCATTTCAAAACTGTAATTTAATATTTATGCAATTTTTTTTTTTTTTTTTGTTTTTTTTTGTTGATGAATCACAACAACGTAATGGACAGTTAATGGCAAAAGTTTCTAAAGGTGCTATAGGACAACCGGGACGATATCTAGGATAGGACCGTGGGACAAGATGCCTTTGGTTTTATTTGTTTTTTTTCTCCTTTTTTATGCTGGTTAAGTAACCCAAGCTGCCGTGGTCTGTTTGCTCTATTGTCTCAAGAGGTTGTGTTAATGGAACCCTCAGTCAAACATCTATTCGGACCAATCCTTTATCTCCGCTTACAACTTTCTATCCTAGGCTCCCCCCTTAATATCACGTCTGCTTTCTTTGTTCTCAAGGAGTCCGCTATTTCCTCCCATTCTCCAACCTTTTGTGAGGGAAACCATCGAATGTTTGCGCTTGGTACCAGGAAACGTCTGCCATTGTGCCGCTAATGTAAACTTGCAACACGATACACTCAGAAAGACAAAAACAATTTATTTTTTTTGAGGATATCGTTAAAAAATTCAAGGAAAAAAAATGAGCAAGATATTAGTTTCTTATCAAGGATTCGGTGACAGGCAGTACCATAAATAAAATGCCCGTAATCCTTAATAATTCCGACAGATCATACATAGGAGTCGATCGTCTGAGGATTTTACGCCTTTTAACAAAAACAAACATAGTTACCTACGCATTTGTTTCTAACGTCGCATCCTATTAAATTACTCAATAACCTCCAACGAAATGTAAACATTAGAAAGCCTGAATTAGATGTATGTGTCATTCATTACTACCAATCACGTTACTAACATATCTTACTAATTAAATAGATATTTATTTATTCAATATACAATAAAGCTAATGTATTTTTATTAATGAAACCTTTATTTGTGGAAATAATCGTAATCAAATATTTTTTATTTATGATATTATAAATAATAATAACAAAATATTTCTTATGCAACATATTTCTTATAACAACATATTTATTAGCCAATTCATAATTATTGTTAATCATTTTAATGTTCAAAAATTTCCAATAAACTTATTATTATTTATTTATTCTAGGAACGAATATGAGAACCATAAGTGAATTTGTAGTTTCTAAACGCCACCAAAATATAGTCGTAAATTTATTAATATTGCATCGTATAATATAAATATTTATTAGAAATAAATATTAAAATACAAAATATAATATATTTAAAAGTCTATAGAATAAAACATCTCTATATATCATATGAAACAAATTGCATCACCAAAACCAGTGTTGCCCAAATGCGAGACCAAGATGTGTCTTGGTCTTGCGAATTTAGATTTGGTCTTGGTATTGAGCAAGAGTCTCCAAACAGTCCTGCAGTTACCTATTAACTTATTTCTATAGAAATATTTCTGTAATTTTTCAAATAGGAGAAACCTAAGTAAGCCCGAATGAAAAATTAGATGAGCACAATGCAAAAATATTTTGGTGATACCAATTATTTACCTATTGCGACTAAAATAGTCAAGTATTAGTAAATATTTTGCTTTAATTTTGATTAAAAAATAGATATTTTTTTTACCAGTCTTGGTTTTGGTATTGCAACAGTTAAGCGGTGTTGGTCTTGGACTTGGTCTTGCAACACTAACCAGAACCATCATAAAAGCCTGGTAATTTGAACGTCTACCCGACCACACAGGAGGATCTACTGGGGGGAGGGCCTTTCGTGCTGAAGTCCCTTCCCCCAAAATGGTAAAATATAACCATATTTTACAACAACAAAAAAAAATAATAATAAAAACAATCTCTTAAAGTATTCTTGTTCGTGTAATTACATTTAATAGGACTTCAAGAATCACTTAAACAACGTTTCATATAAGTAATTAATTTCTTTATTTTTTATACAAATTAATTATCTTATATATATATATATATATATATATAAGAAAAAAAAAAGTTTTCGGGCTGAAGCCCCCCTAAAATTAAATTCTGGATCCGCTAGTGCCCAACCACTAGGTACGCACACATTTTCATGCGAATATCTTTGTTACATGACTTATTTTCAAGATTTTCTTGAATTAATAATTTCCCCAAAGAGGTATAATTAATTTTATTTAATATCTTTCAAGTTGGGGAGTGTCTATTTTTCGTAATTCTTTTCTTTCAAAACGTTGAAATACTAACAATCAAACTGTTGCTCATAACTTGTTTGTTTACATTTGTTGCTATTCTGTTTTTTCTATGTTGAAAGAGGAAATAAGGGGATGCACTTGGGTATGCACCGTCGCCTTGTTTAATGTTCTTTGATGACGGAGGTTACCTTTTGTTGATATGAGGCAAACATATTAGTCACCATGGAATCCTAATATTAGCTATTAAACAAATATATATCCGAATAAATATTTCAATCTGATTTCGCCATATTTTCCCAATGCATAGTTACGAAAAGAACTCCTCCTTTAACTGGTTCAAAGGTGGCATGCCTTCCTGGTGGGCGTTATGTTGACTGACCAACTTAAGACCGCTCACAAATGTTGATTTTACTTTTTAGTACCCGGAGCAGGCTTTCACCCGGTCGCCGAAACGTCTCAACACGTCCGATGGCGATGGCTAGGAAAGCAAAATCTATTCTCGGCAAGTTGTTTTTCGAGGCGCCTTCCAGTATACCTAGAAAGCCCACCATTTTCTGCTAGTCATCAAAACAAGAGCGGCTAAGGACCGAATTCGGTACGCAAAGTCATGAATCCTTTTAAAATTTGTGAATTTGGACTTGCTAAGAATGGTTGTTCATTTTGGAGAAAGAAAGGGAATACAAAAAAAAGTGTTTGGACCATGCGAAATAAGTGAAAACATCAACAAGGCGGGATTAATAATATAAAATATAAATTATAAATAATAGATCATTATAAAGGGAATGAAATAGTGAACTTAAATCAAGCTTACAGTATGGAAGTCCAATTTTTAGTTTAGATATTTTAATCCATATCTTCAATAAAACTCGTTATAATTTGGTTTTCGATACCATTTTATTCCTTTTCTCCTCTCTAACACGGCGTATAATGAAGATACAATTTTTAATAATAGTCCATTACAGAGAGGATGAAATTCTGAACAATGCCCTTGCTTATAGTATGCAGGTTCCCTTTTTAGTTTCTGAAATATTTCAATCCATATCTTCAATAAAACTCGTTATCATTTGGTTTTCGACACTATTTTATCCCTTTTCCCCTCTCTAACACGGCGTCGCGTTAAGATACAAGAACATTTCTCTCGCTAACGATATGCAGGTCCTATTTTAAGTTTTTGAGATATTTTAATCCATATGCAAAAACACTACAATTAGTCGACTCCAGCCGATTTTACCCGAGCGTTACACATCAGAAATCTGGCGGCTCTATCTAATTCACTCTCGACAAAAAAAAGTGCACACGCGCCTAAAGAAGTTTTCAATTCAATAATTTGAATTCTTGGCATTAAATAAATCTAATTTATTATTTATTTATTAATATTAAAAAAATATCTTTCTTAATTAGCTAAGTGCTCTTCCACTATATACCCTTGCCAACGCAAATCTTTTAACTAATATACTCTAAACATAACTTTCTTTCCATTCGGTTCTAAATAATAATAAGCGTAGAGTTAGAAAAGAAGAAATCGAGGATGAACGTAAGAAGAAAAAACATCTGCTGTATGAATATTATTAATTTCAATGAATAGGAATAAATATTCCATCCAGTGTCTTTACAATCTGGTGTTAACAGGAGAAAAAAAAAAAACCATACGTCATTTTAAAATGAAAATGAAAGTTTATGGTACTGTAAAAGGATTGACAATAGGTAATTGGTTTTTTTTTTACTCCCTCGAGATTTTACATACGTCAAACAGAAATATGATCAACTTAAATGACAAAGCCTATTATCTCGATCCAACCGTGAACTAAGCATTATAAAGTCACTTCTCGAATCTTAGTTAAAAAATAAAATAACCACAACGTAACAAGGCTGGTAAGTGCTAAAACGACTTATTTTCAAGGAACTTAGGCGTCCTTGTAAGTTTCTAAAATGCACAACGTCGCATGCTGTCTGTTTTTTTGGTACCCCATTGTTAGCCGTTTTTGCATTTAGAATCCTCTCGGTTTATCATATGTCCAATACGCATCAAGAACAATTATTTATTTTATTACGAAAAAAATCATAATATGTTCCTTTTAAATTAATCACTAAAGCATTTCTTTTTGCTTTCTATAATAAATAGTCCTCTGATATCTAGTTAACAAAAAGTTTTTAAGTACAATTAGAAATTGCAAAAATTAAAAAAAAAATATCAATAATAGGAATTTTAGCTGTAACTGACACAACTTTTGCATTCTTTGTTACAGAAAAGCTGATTATTCAGTCCAGAGACTACTCTGGAAAATTACTTATTTATGGAGAAAAATCCAGAAGATACCTATGCTTCAACCCACGCTGGAAATTAGTTGGATCTGTAAGTATATTTATTGACGTTACGTATAGTGTTATATCTATATTATAGTATTATCATCATAAAAATGTATAAGAATTTGGAGGTATGTGGACATATTTTTCCACTTCATATTCATCTTAATGATATTTATTCAATAGTTAAGATATTATCGTTCAATCGAAAAAATAAATAAAGATGCAAAACGTTATGGGCCTCATGAATCGTATCACTGTTTTTTTTTTGTGATTTTGAATGAATATCTCATGGTATTTAGTTGTATAATCTAGGGCAAATTGAGAAACAGTATATTTAAAAGCACTATCGTGTCTTGAGGTGTGCGAATATGTTCATTTTCGTATTCAAAATTCTTTTTATTTTAGAACTGTATTAAAACATATATTCGAACTATTTATCCCTCATCTCATTTATCCTCTCCCGCAACTAAATATATCTTGTTATATTTATCTCATTTCAATGATCTAAATCCTTCTTTATATATAATGGTACATTTTAAAACAAGAGTGATAAATTTTTCACATGTCCTCCAACCAAGAGGTTTCCATAAAAGTCCTCTCTCTCTCCCCAAGTACTTCCTACTTCCTAATATTTGCTAAGAAAGTCCTTTATGATGGTAGGCCTTACCCCAAAATACGTGATCAGCTAATCTTACCATCGGCTCGTGGCATGGCCCCCTTCAACGCAACATATCAGCAAGCAGGTCAAGGAAGACATCCTTAAGCATTGGTCATTGCCGATGTAATTTTATCAGGCTTGTATGGGCTCTGTGATTTTCCACTGTTCTAAATAAGAGGGGTTGCTAGCTTTATATGGTCATGTTTTTTCTCAATAATCTGTAGTTAAAAAAATCATGGCAATTAAAGTAACTCTAATTTGTGCTTAGGTAGATAAAGCTTTTATACCAGCGGAATCAAGGGAGGCTTTCGGGCTGAGACCCCATACTCCAAACCAAAAAAAAAGTTAGATGACTTTGATTGAATAAATGACATATTTTTTAGGAAAACAAACAAACAATCTTTGGCGTTCACTCCATCTGGCCATTGTCAAGATAAACGACACTATTACGACATTTAGATACAGCAATTCTAACATATTATTGATACTAATTACCCGATAAATGGCGAACGATAAGATCTATATCTTTATAATTATTAAGATAACTTATTGCCGTAATAATTTCCGTGGTATGCAGAAATCTCTGCTGACCTTGCTGAGGCCGTGTAAAAACCCACCATATGGACAGTTAAAACTATCGCACAGTTAAAATTGATGATGTAGTTTATTCCGTTAATTACAATCTAGAACAAATAAACAAATAATTAGTTGTTTTTTTAAAATAAATAAATTGTATTAGTTTTGAAATAACTGCATAAATTTTGGCGCGGCTTTCACCAGGATTTTTGTCAAAGAGAATTGGTTAATTTTGCCATCCCTCATTTCTATTTTTACCTGAGGAACTAGACATCACAAAGAAGGTTAATGGTTTGGGTTGATTTCTTGTAGGTGTGAAACCATATCTTGAAAGTATCGCTGGACCGATTTTAACCTCAAAATAGTGAAAACAATATCTCAAGAATTCACTTTTTTTTTTTTTGTTTCATATGATACCCTATGTACTCATAAGATCGTGATCATGTGTGATGAATATGATTTTTATAAAACATAAAAAACCCTCATCCAAACTGATGCCCATGAATATCTAGAGTTGGTTTAGTAGTCAGGTGCCTTCTATTACACACTATGGATGGCACTTAAAGTTAAATCATGTTTAATAAGCAATATATTTCGTGATAAATATCGTTTCATAATATTAACTCAGTTTTTATTATTTAATCATTGTTTTTATTTCGCGAATATTTTTTACTTAACTAAAAATAAAATGGGGTGCCCACCCAGAAGAGTATTTCATGGTGCAAACTGCGGCATCAACAATTTTTAGAGATTACATTTTGAAGGGGTTTGGAATTTTTTAAGGGAGATAAATTTCGAGAGGGCTCTGAATTTTCGCAGTAAAAAGTTTCAAACCAGTGTATAAAGGAAAACATGGACGTCTTCATAGCAAGTGTGATTGTAGATTATCTACGATTTTTCTAATTCTACTTTCGCTTGGACTGTTTTAAAGAGAGGAGAGCAATAAAATTTCTTAGAAGTGGAGGGGAGTTCATGCGCTATCGAATTTTGGAGGGAGGCATCCCTCTTTGCGACCTTCCATATTCTCGTTCCTCTAGTTCTGACCTTCATTATTCATTTTTCTTTTTCTATTCTAGCTCCAATTACTGATTTTATAACTTGAAGAAGTTTGTTGGCCAATATTTCGTAAATTTTGATTTGCAGTTTCCTGATCAAGTGTTGCTTAATAGATTATCACTCGTATAATAGCTCACTGCAGATTCATCTCGGCGTTCGTGGATATAATTGATTATGGTGATACATTAGGAGTGAGCTCAACATTTCATCAAGTTTTTTAATCAAGCCATTTGTCACGTTTTTTCAATTTATTTCTTTTCGAAAACTGGATTATAGAGATCGCTCGTGACTAGTTTAAATGTCGAGAAAAAAGACAAAAAGTCTCCGTGAAACTGTAAATGGACACTTCATAAACTGAAAGTTCGCTGCCTGGTATATCAACTGTTACAAAACAATATTCTTTAAGTCAAGATTGCATATGCCACGTTCCTGCATTATAAATTTAGTCTTCGATTTTGGTTATTTTTTTTCTCACTTTATTGAATCATCATCAGAAAATAATATATTACATTCTAATATTAATAACAAGTTGGAAGTAAATCTCATGTAACAAGTAAATGGCGTTACGCAACCCAAGCATTTCACAGACACGGACTGTCACAAACCTCTAGCGTGCAATGATAAATTTTATCGCTGTACCAGTCACTGGGTGGGCATTCCATAGCAAGATAGTGTAAGTTGTCCATGCTTTACAATAGATACATGTTGTGGACGCGATTTTTATAGATTGCTTCCGATAAACGTGACTCAATTGAACACATGGTTACTGAAATGGGCGTATAAAGTTGTGGAAATTGATAAAAGATGAATCTATAAAAGATTAATAGGTAATAATGGGCGTTAAATCGAATGGGAAACGTCTCAGAGGAATTGTAGATCGAAGGATTGTCGTAGATCAACAATCATGGAATAACCAAGTATTGTTGGATTTGGCGTCGAAACTTCGCGTTCCTTGGATATTCATGATTATTGCTTTAGGAAGCCTACTTACAACTGTCTTCAAGAACTTTCTCGTCCTATCGTTTCTATTGAATATTTGTATAATTTTATTTTAAATGTTATCGTAGCTTTATGAATGTTAATTATAAGGCACCTAACAGAAGACATTGAACATGTTTTGTTAAACACCAGTCATTGTTTGTGGCTAAGATTCTAAAACTTTCGAATAGGTATATAACAAAACTAAATTTGTTCTAAATTTTATTCATCCAAAAATATTGATATAAAAAATCAACCTTATTGTTGTTTGGTTCTTTAAGAAAAGTTATAAAAAATTGACTGCATTAAGTTTTTAATATTTTTTGTCAACTTTTTCGTAAAAGGTACCAGAGCCCAGCGGTGCCCAGAAGGGGTTTCATAGCCCAAGTTGCGTCATCAAAATTTTTGAGGGAGGCATATTTTGACAGGTTTTTGAATTTTTGAGAGGAGCAAATTTCGGCGGGGTTATGAAATTTCGAACTAAGGACAATAGGAAAATATGGAACATACGGCAGCAAATGTATATGATGAACAATATTTCTAATTCTACCTTAGCCTGCTCTGTTTTTAATAAAAGATGAATATTAAAATATCTTGAAAAGAGGGAGAGGGGGGGGGTTCTTGCTCCATCGACCTTGGGGAGATGGGTACCTCTGCCAGAGCCAAAAGATGGTTTGATTCTGTTCTAAATAATAAACAGTGATATAAAACCACCTCAAACTCTTTTTTGCACAATTTGTTGATAGATCCCGTTCAGTTGAATTCCTGAAAATATTGTCAGATATTTTTATGTTTTTTTTAGCCTGTTCTTATAAGTATGTTTTCAGCATTTAGGCCTCCCCTAATTAAGAGGTTAATGGTCCAACTTCCCGCGGAGACTAGCCATACTGGGAAGTAGGGGGCGGAATTTGATTCTATGATCAATCAATGATTCTATCAAACAAATGTGCATTTTCGATTGAGCTGTATTTTTTACTTGTTATTTAGCCATAGTTGTAGATATTGTAAATAGTAAGATAGACCTGAGCTCCTCTAATGTGAATGTTGTTGTGTTTGCAGAAAAAGGTGCGTGGCCGACAGTGCTACTTCAGTGAGGAGATGGTGGTGGGAGGGTACTACAGGTACCGCTCCACGCTGGACAAGGACAAGTACCTGGGCTTCCTGAGCTCCGGACGGCAGCTGCGGGGGAGGAAGCCGCCCAACCCCAACTGCCTCAACTGGGTCAAGATCGACTTGGGCTTCTCGATAGGGGCCCACAACGACGAGATATCCAAGGGGTCCTCCAAGTTCTCCTTCGAGATGTTCGCCGACCGCAGGGTGAGGCACAGCGGCAAGCGCCGCCTCCACAAGGGCTGAGTCCACCCAGCCATTGTATTATCCTTTGTCTAGCCGTTCCCATTCCTTGTTTATAGTTAGCACTTACACGGGCGCGTATGTCCCTCCCTTCTACCAAAGAGGAACAGTGCCGAGGCACGTGTGGAACCTTAGTCATAAGTTGAGGCGGCATGCGGGCGTTTGCTTCTTTCCAGTTTTCAACGGAAATTAAATTTCAGTTTGACACGATTCTTCAAAATATTGAAAACTTCCCATTTCGAGACTATGACATCTCTCAACTCCGGTCTTCCTGATAAAGTTATTTATTTGAATACAGTCAAAAGTTGTTTTTTTTTTATTTCACCCAGTATTATAGATGTTATCTGAATGAACCATCTGAAAGCTTTCCATGTAGTTCAGCGGACACGGAAGGATCGAGAAGACATATTTTCATCTGGTAGAAATATATTCCACATAGATCTTGATAAAGGAGTAGAATCTTTTATTTTATTGTCCATTGGATTCCCAGTATGCGTCCGTGTTGATTGTTGTTTATATTTTTTTTTTGTATTTTTTATTATAAAAAAACTGCGTTTTTGGTAACTGAAACCATTTATTTAAAAATATAAATATATTGTCTACTAGTCCCTGCGTGTTTTGTACGGTTAGATGTTTCATACCGCCATAACGCCCCAGCACTAGATAACCCTTTGTAAACTGTTAGTATGTAAAAGAGAAAGTATTAGATATTTGTACACATTCCAAAATAAAGGGTGCTTCGAAGGCTGAGCCGTAGGCGACTGTAAAGCTTTAGTTTAGGCCACTGCTTCACGGATACACTTTTTTTTAATGGCTGTCATAGACAATAAAAGTTCAGATTGGATGTATCGTTCAACTGTTAATTTGGGCTAAAATAAAAAATAAAATAAAACTCTTATAACACGAATATAATAGCTAATGCAATTGAATAATGAAATCGGCTTAAAATACGTGAAATATCGCCTATCCGTGCATTGTGTATATATATGTGTATTTTTTTTTTTAATTTTAAATTTGATTTCATTGAAGTCTTTTAATTATTTATTTAAATGCTAAATTATAAAAAAGTATTTATAAAATGAATAAAAATATATAAATGTTGCCTTTAAATATTTTATGTACAATTTTTGTATTATAGGGATAGATTTAGTCTGTGTATTAAAGATATTATCCTCGTCATCTGGGTATGTTTTTATTTATTAATGGCTCTCAAAATGGATTGTGCGTTCCTTGCTGCAGTATTCTTAAGTGTTGTGAGTCGCTTTCAGCCACTACACCTACTATTAATGTTACAATAATTTAGTAAAAGCAGGACTTGTCAATAGAAATTATCAGTAATAAACCAAGTATCCCTCGAACATACTTAGCGAGCATTGATCTTATAAAAATGTTTGAGGATACTTAATGCTTCTGTATGTAAACCATAAAACAAATGTAATGGCTTATATAAAAAAAAAAATTGTAATAAAAAAACAAAAAAAAGTACCCACTCTAAACCCCATATAACAGATGATTACCAAAAAATAGACTGATCTGCATTAAATGTTAAGTATGTATTGTATAGTTGTGTATGCAAAACCCTTATCTGTATGCATTGTATAGATGATATATAAATTAAATACGCTAGCTCTCAGTTTTGTATAAATCTATTTATAATTCAAACATTATTCTGGCTGTAATGCCATAATTATTAACAAATCTTATAATTATAAGTTTCTATTATTATTGTATTAATACATAATAATTTTTGTACAGTAATTTTTAATACCCTTTTTTAAGTTCTTTGTTAGCTGCTCTTGAAGAGTATCGATGTATTTTGTTCTGTATAATTCTAACAGTATTATAAAAATAAACTAATAATATCGTTTACCTGAACCTGTATTAATTTATTTAACATAAACCTCATACATCCTTCATACATTTCTTTGTTAAAAAAAAGATGTAAGTATTGTTAATTTTTTCTTCTTCTGAAGTTACCCCATTTTCACACATTTCATTAAACATGAATTAAGCCCTTCAGTTGAAAGAATGACTAAGTCCTACTTCAACATTTTTGAGTACAGTCATTTCAGAGATATTTCTAGTTGAAAAATTTTTAATATCTGTACAGACAGTGAGTAAGTTGATTCCAGAGTGCATTGCAGTTTTGAAATATAGAACTGAGAATAAAAGTATACATTTTTCCAATAGAAATATCATTAAAATTAATAATAAAAAATAGTGAAATTGGAGTTAGTCATTCTATAAACTGAAAGGCTCCATTATACTCCTATTTTATTCTAATCATCTCGTATTCCTAAAACGTATTCCTATTCCAATCTTTAATGAATTTTTCTTTTTTTAATAATTGTACTTTTTAAATAAGCATATTAAAAGTTATAACAAAATAAATGAAAGTACAATAAATACAAATACAAAAAATATCAGATATATTTCATTATTTCATAGTTAAATCTTTTATTATCAAGAGGTTATAAAACTTTAAAATTTATAAGCCATATATATAACAAAGTTTAATAGTAGAGAGTTTCTTTTTTTATAAAGAATAAAAAATAGACTTATTTTGGGACGAGGTCCCTTAAGAATAACAATTATAAACAAAAAACAAAAACTACATCTGGCCAAAAATTATATTAATCAAAATTAAAGAATATATACATATCTTCAGTAAAAGTAAATACAAAACAAGAACTAAAACCATTTAGGATAAAAACAAAAACATTATTGAAATGAAAAGAAAAACAGAAATCAGGAGAAATAAAAAACAAAATGTTACAAGCACTATGAGTTTATTCTTAAAATTAAAACTCAAATAATTTCAACAACCATTCACCTCAATCAAAATTTATTTCATTGTACAGCGTCATTTTGGGATATGAGAAGGAATTGGTAGAGATTGAATGAGGGTAAGCTAGAAGCATGGCGAATATCAGATGGCAAGGAATTCCAGAATGCAGTGGATCGAGCAATAAAGGAATATTCAAATGTCTCAGTTCTATGGGAACGAGTATAAGTCCAAAAATATTTAAAATATCTTGGTAGGTGTATCCTTGTACAATAATTTTTATATATACAAAATATTACAAATAAAACGTATTAAATTTATTGGTAAAAAATAAACACAGAAAAAAAAAATACTTAAAGTATAAACTATCTTGGAGCAGAATATAATAGATTGTTATGATTGAGACCTTATTTATTTGGTTGTATTTTAGGTGCCGTGTGCAACTTAATAGGTTAGAGGCACAGATTGAGACTTTAAAAGTAATTTACAAGGCAATACTAACATACGTTGCTAAAAGCAGTAACTTAAAGGTGAGTTTAGACATTTCACAAACTATGGAAAACACAAATCTTTAAATGGTTTTTTACCTATGCTAGAGGTTTTTTTTTTGTTCTTATTTTTGATGTTTTCCACCTGCTGTCGATAACAAGAGAAAAAAGTTGGACTTAAAATGTCCAACGCTAATGTTGTTATTAATTAAGTTACCTTAAAAACTGAAATGCAATCTTATATGATAAATAAAATTTTAGGCAGTACTGAACTCTTGACTTAAAACGATGTATGTGACATTATTGTTAACAACCCATTTAAAAATGTATTAAATTAACAAGTTTTACTAATTTATAGCAATATTTTAACACCATAAACTACTTTAAAATTCCGCTAAACAAATAAATAGAGAATTAAAAGAGAAAAATAATTAATGGTACAGAAACATTCATGAGCAAATCCAGAATTCATAAACGTATAAATTCACAGCATTCATAAACATAAAATGATTGGGTTGCTCAGTGAGTAAGGCACTGTGTTCCTACCTATTATTGATAGAGGGAGGAAAAGTGGCGGTTGGGAGTGATCCCGGCCCAATCACTTGTTACAAAGTACTTGACCCAATACCATCATGGGATTGACGTGGTACAGATTTTTTTTTAATTTAATTTTTTATGAAAGATAAAGCTTTTGAATGAACATAACACACTCGGGACCAACAATGGAAACATTTTGAGTTATAATTATAACTTGGGAATATTAATGTCCTATAACCATAGGAGCAGATTTAGGGAGGGTTAGGGGAGCGATTACCTCCTCCAATAAAAATATTGATTCGTTTCGCTCTTTCCCCCTCCCCAATAATTTGAATTTAAAATATTAAAATCAATAACAATTAATCTTCATAAATGAACAAAATATGCAAAATAAAATCGTTTACGAAAATATGAAAAGTAGACAATTTGGCAAGTGTAAGACCAAGAAGTAGGTAAGTATTTTACCACCACCTAAATATTTCTCAATGTATACAAATATGTAGCATGTTCAATTGAAAAAAAAAAACTTACAAAGTGCGCATCACACAACTTTGACTTGATCAACTTGGAGTAGATAGTTATTTTCATTATAGGGAAGTCAGAACGAAAAAGACGATATAACTTTATTTAAAACAATTACCTACTATATTTTTTCTGACCATCTAATCTCTTAACTTTATAAGTTTCCATCACTTTCCATTTCCTTTTTCGACTGAGTATAGTACGAAATAATGCTAATGGGCGAAAATAGATCTTTTAGAAGAATCCTAAATTTCATCGGAAACATTTAATAGGAAAATCATCGAAAAAATAACTCAACGTTAGTAAATCTGTTATATCATTAGGTTTATATTGATGGATTCTCAACATTTGCCAAGATAAACTTTTTAGAATGTTATGGATAAGTGATGTATAAAAGTTAAAATAACAATATGAAAGAACTATACAGAGGGTATCGGGTATATGTAAAGGCAAAGATCAGGCGTTCTCGGATGTTTCCATAGCTTCCAATCCTCATTTCTCCTTTTGTTAATTATCAAATTATTTCACATTTTATATTTAACTATTTTCTATATAATATTACAATGCTTAATTGTTAATTATTTCAAATAAAAAGAATTAAAGGTACTTCAGATGAAGAAATATTCATAACCATTTACGCCCGGTTATGGAACATCAATGAGAATAAAACCTATATTATCTTAAAAACTGGTAGAAGGTAAGTGATTGCAAAAATTTATCTTGAAATAGGTATTCAGTATCCAGTAAGAAATGATAAATGTATCAGTAATAGACACTTTGACAGAAATTGTTTTTTATTTTGTCCATCATCCCCTCTCCCCCATGAAATGGAAAGTGCCGATAACCAAGGCAAAAGGGTTTTTATACATCATCGTTGGTACACAGAATGTTTGAGGGTTAAGCGATTAAAGGATTAAGTGGCCAAACTGCAAAACTAAACTAAGGACCTCAAAACAAGAAACAAATTTCCTCTGAAGGTATATCCGCAAACGCTTTATTTAGGAGATATTCACACCAAAAGATTATGTTATATGAAATAAATAAAACCTATTTATTTGTTCTAACTACTTTATTAATTAAATGTAAACATTAACATTCATATTAAATGTTGTTCAATGTGATTCCCTTGTGTATTAAGACAGGCTCGCCATTTTCTTCAATAGCAGCAGTGGCAGAACGGCACTGGATATGCGTTATTGTTTCACAAGATTCAATTAAACTTCTTCGTAAGGAATTATGGACATTAGTCGGAATTGCTCAATCATATCCCATGTCGCATACCCAATCAATGGATTGGCCGTGCACGACTAGTGGCTTGGTCTGACACCCCTGGATTATTTTGTTTGGGGTGACATTACACAAAAAGTCTATGCAAGTCCGGTCAATGACCTTAATTCCTTACGAAGAACGATAATTGAATCTTGCGAAACGACAGCACATATCCAGTGCCGTTCTGCCACTGCTGCTGTTGAAGAAATATGCCGAGTCTGTCTTAATACTCAAGGGAATCAATTTGAACATTCAATATGAATTTTAATGTTTACATTTAATTTATAAAGTAGTTAGAACAAATAAATAGGTTTTATTTATTTCATATAACGTAAATAATTCATACAACGAAAATCTTTAGGTGTGAATATCTCCTAAGCAAAGCGTTTACGGTCATACCTTTACAGGAAGTTTTTTTCTTGTGATGAGGTCCTTTGTTCATTTTTGCAGTTGGTCACTTAACTCCGAAACACCCTGTATAATAGTTTGGTCAACTCCAACAGACTTGCAAGATAAACGACAAAACATATAGTAACGAATAAATGAAGGTTTGATTTAGTGTTGCCCAAAATCAGACTTGGCCTTGCACTTTGCAAGGCCGCCTAACTGTTGCAAGGCCAAGACCAGGACTGGTAAAAAAATCGATTTTTTAAATAAAAATTAAGGCAAAATAGTTACTAATACTTGACAATATTAGTTACTATATGTTAATAATTGTTATAACCAATATACTTTTGCATTTAACTCCTCTAATTTTTCATTCGGGTTTACTTAGGTTTCTCCTATCTAAAAAATTACAGTAATAACTCTATAGTAATAAGCTAATAAGTAACTGCAAGACTGTTGCGAGACTCTTGCGCAAGACCAAGACTGAGTTTGCAAGACCAAGACTCGTCTCGGTCTCGCATTTGGGCAACACTAGTTTGATTGAGCCTTTAAAAAAATCAGTACTAATCTTTTCTTTCTGACGGATTCAATTAATACATTTGATTATTTTTTTAAAGGGTTAAGCAAACTGTGTCAACAGAAGCCTTTCCTTCGGACTAATTGAGAGATATTCCAGGTTTCTGCACTTTGAAAATATGAATTAATTTAGGGGGTGGGGTGTAGACAATGGAAACTTTATCTCAATCACAGGCCACGGCACATCACATTTAAGTTTCGGCAAGTCTTTTCTCCCATCTCTCCTTCCTCCAACAGTTACTTAATAATATTTGTAATAGATATGACGACTAGATAGTTATATTATAATAGCATATACATATGTTATCTAT